TGAGGTATGGATTCAAATTCATCTGTAGTGATTCTACGGCATTTGGCATTTGTGAAAAATTTGTCAGTTGATTTTTTGTTATTTCATGTTGTTGTAAATAATATGGTAGTGGTATTTCATTTTACATTTGTGTTGGTTGACAATAATAAGTGTTTACTGGGTTTTGCCTTTCTATTGGTTGATATGATGATGTATCGGTTGGATTTTGCGTTTGCAACGGTTGTTGATTTTGTGTATTAGCTAAGTTTTGAGGATAAAAAATTGTATTTTGGGATGCTTGATTTGGTCGAAGTGGTTTTGCACAATATTCTTGTGTATATGGTGCAAAATTATCTGGTTGATAAGGATCATCATCATCTGATGATAGATGAATTGGTGTATAGTAAAGTGCTTTTTGTTGATTTTGGTATGGCTGTTTACTGTTTTTATTCTGTTGATAAAATGGGTAATTTTCCCTTGGGTCTGTTGGATTTCGTGGGTTATCATTAAAATTTACGAAATTTGATGTTTGTTGTTGGAAATTTTGTCGTTGCGAAAATGAATGATTTTGCGGGTTTGTACGAGGAGGTTTAGATATTTGTGATCTATTTACGTAGTTATATTTGTGTTCTGCAAAATTACTTTGTTTTTGTGGTGGTTTCGTCATTGGTCTAAATGTTTGGTAATCCATATGTGAATATTTTGGAGCAACCGAGTGTTTAACCGTAGATTGCAATATAACTTGTGGTAAAATTGAAGTTTTTTTATGGCGTTGTAAGTTTTGGATGTATTGGTGAAATACTTTGCTGTGTAGATTTTACAATTGTTTCAACTATTTCTTCATTTATAAAATGTGATGGTGTTTGAATATCCTGTTGTGTAAGATTCCTAGTTCCATATTAATTTTCTTGTTGTACAAGAGTTGACTTTAAACCATTATTTTGTTTTCTATCGGGTAAAAATGAGTTGTAGTTTAAAGGTGTTGCATCTGTTGTAAGTGGACTTACTTTTACATAATCTTTGTTTTGCGATTGTACTGATTGCTTGACTTGAGATGGCTATTGGAATGTTCGGGAATAATGGATGAAACCAATCAGGGTCCCAAATGTAATCTGATTGATCGGCAATGACAGTGTCATCATTTGTACTTTGAGGTCTAAAATTTTCTCTTGCTTTTGCAATTAAATCTATATTATGTGTAAAATAATCAATTATGAACCATGCCAAGATTTTTTGTAAACCGTGTTTATTATTTGGCGAAATTTCATTGTTTGAAAAATTTTCACGGATTGTGTTTAAAATGCTGAGAATGCGGCAATTTCATTTCTTACATTCGTCTGTCTTGATGTGTCAACCGGTGATGGGCTTTCAGTTTCTGTATTTTCTAGTATAGATAAATAATTATATATTTTTGCAAAAACATCGTTAGTGAATATTGAATTTGCTCTCTGTGAATTTTGATGTTGTATGTTTTTAATGTATTCTGCGAATGCTTTTGAAAATTCTATATCGACATCCTCTGTTTGGATAACATATTTGCCATGAAATTTACTTGCTGTACTGAGTTTATGATGTAAATTCCATATTGTTGTGTTAAGGTACATATTCCTTTTATATAATGGTCGATATTTTGTCTTTTGATTTTTATTTCTGGGAATTTGGCTTTACATGGGCTAATTCCTTGTTCAAATATATTTGCGATTAGATTATGGCAAAATTGTATTTGTCCTCTGTCTTCAGTGAGTGAATTGATGATAAATGGGAAAACAGAGTCTTCGTCTGGACTTTCGTCACTTGGGTTTTGCCTCATTTTTTCGTTTTATGACTGTTAGTGCGTAATGTTCATTGTGTCTGATTGGTTGGTTCCAACTGTATAAACGTACTGGTTTATTTTAGTATGTCTTTTTTATTCTTCTTTTCCCTTGTTTTGATGAAAGTGATGTAGCTTCTGAATCGGAAAAGTATAATTGATCGTGAACTGGGTAATTTTTTATTTACAATGTCTTTGAGTTTGCAAAGTGCAGCTAAATTGCTGACTTCTGATTCGGAGACTGCGTTTCTACGCTTTGAAAATCTTTTTCGTGTAATTTGTCTTTGTTTACTTAAAATTTTTCTTTTTAATGTTTGACGTTTTGCGAATATATCCGATTGTTTGTTTGTGCGGTGTAATTACAAGATCGTATGCTTCGTTATTTATTTCACAATTGTGTAGTACGATTGTTTGTTTATTTCCTAAATTGTTCAGTGACATAAGGTTTAGGATGAAGGGTGCAAGATTCTTTTTAGTGATTTTTATATCCTAGACTGTTAGTCCTTATTTTTTTGGTGGATGAATAACCGAAGTTCTTAACTGTTTATCCTAATTAGAATGATTAGTGTGATTGAAAAATTTCTATTAGTCCTGGGTCTTTTGAAAGTTTTGGATAGTGAATCGACGTTTGAGGTCGTTAGACACTTGTTAAGTGGGTGGGGGAGACCAAAATTGTTTTATTTGATCCAAGGATAAGCCTTGATGATCAGAATAAAAAATTTTAATACAAAATTTATTAATTTAGAGATGTAATTGAGATCCAAGGAAAGCCTTGATGATATAATTTTAAGTTGAAATAAAGTTAAGTTAATTGAGGATAAAATTTAGGATAAGCCTTTTTAAAATAATTTGAAGTTTATTTTGATAAAAAGGTTGAGTGTTCTATGATATTAGTGGTTTAATGATTGCTGTTATGTTTAGGTGGTGAAGCTGGGGATGCCAGGATGAATTATATATACTAAAAATTTATGATCATGTTAACTAATTTTTATTTTTTATTTTCAATAAATTTATTTTTCAGATATCTTTTTGAATTTTACAGCAGTTTTGGAGGAAACGATATGAGGTGTTTTTATAAGTCGTTATTGTACAATAGTAAATTTGGTTTAGCGCCTGAATTAATCATTGAAGATTTTTCTTCAAGGTTTTTATGTTTGCAGATGAAAATCTAAATTCATTGTTAGTAAAATTTTAAATATAAAGGTTTGTGTTGGCTTTTGCCGTACGACCATGAAACTTAAAGGTAAATTTCTTCGTAGTCATAGATCGTCTCCTGTCCGAAATCTTCTTCCAATACCGGATAGTTCTCGTATTAAACGGAAAAGCGGCTCTGATCTATTGAGTCGTAGAGACATTTCAACTAAGTTATTGTCATATAACATTTTGAAAATGTTTTTGTCTATTTCTAATTTGTCTGTTAGATATAAATTAATTTGTTTTCTAAGGTCTTGTTCGAGACTTATGGTCGCACCAGATGAGTTATGTTTGAGGTGTAGCTCAAAGAGTAATTTCGGATAGGGTACACCGTCTGCTCGTCACGCTATCCTATTTTCGGCTGGATAGATTCGTGCAACTTCTTAGTCTAATACCGATCCTAATCTTACTCTTATATCTACTAGTCTCAGGGTGTTTAACTAGTCTCTGCTAGGCTCAATAGATCTAGAGTATACTGGCTTATCGCGATTGCTAAAGTTCTCTTGGAGAGGTAACTAATTTCTAAGTTAAATTCAAATCTCTCTGGTGCTGAAATTACAAGTAATTTCAGCACTTACAAATAAGTGGGTTGTTAGTTAGATGGATCATGATTGGTTAATATTAAATATTTTATAGTGATAAAATATCTAATTTATGACCAATAATAAAATGTAGTTTATATCTGGTTCCAATTTTGAGGCAATTACTTTTTTCTTCCGAGCTTAGGGAATAGCCGCTTTTTCCAAAGGTACGTTTTTTTTGAGAATCGATTTTATACTTGTAGACAAATTGAAATTTCTGCCAAATTGTTCCAAGGCGTTGCGAAAAAAAGGAAAAAGAAACTATTCCCATACATTTTCATGATACATGTTTTTTTTTCAATTAGGACCTACCACTAGCCAAACATAAAGCAGCAATTTAGGCCATTAAATTATTTATGCTTAAAAAAACTTTAATATGATTAAAATGAACTATACCAAAAGTGCCACCAAATCAGCTCTTTCATCTGCAACTTAGCGTTTAAAAAATATCCATCGTAGTATCGTAGTAACACACTACGCTTCGCATGTGTAATTATGATTTTTATCACTACGTGTAGCAAATTGCTGAAATAAGATGCCCAAATTTGTCAGAATGGTTTAACTACCCGGGTCGAGATTCCGCTCAAAAACCGCTCAAGATTTGAGCGGTTTGAGCGGTTTTCCAGCAAGATTTAAGCGGTTTTAGCGGTTTGGGCGGTTTTTTTGGAGAGCCCCTCCACCCCCCAACGTACTCCCTCCCCCCAACGTACTCCCTCTCCCCAACGTACCCCCTCAACGTATCCAACATCCAACAAACTCCCCCACCAACGTAAACCCCCCCCCCCCCCCCCCCAACGTACCCCCCAACCCACGACTTAACCCCCTCACGTTTAACCATCCCCCCCACGAAACCCCCAACCACGACGTGCCCCCTCTCTCTCTAGTTAGGGGACATCTAACTCTAGTAAGGGACATCAACTCTAGTAAGAGGTGAGGGGGGACATCAACTCTAGTAAGAGGTGGGGGAGTTGGTGTGCGATCTTATGATCGATTATTTTTGTTATTTTGTAGAGACTGACAATAAAAATCCTGACAGTATATTTTTTGTGCATGTCTAAAACATTGAACATATTCAGTAGAACAAATACAGCGAATATTAAGCTTCCAGCAAGTACGCATAGACTAAATGATAAGGCGTCTGACTTTGAATCAGAAGATTGCGGGTTCGAATCCCTCTGTGGTCGACTTTTTATTATTAAATCTTGCGCAGTTTTTGAGCGGTTTTTTTAGATAAACCGCTCAAAACCGTTCAAATCTTGCGCGGTTTTTGAGCGGTTTTTTTAGATAAACCGTTCAAAAACCGCTCAAACCGCTCATTTTGAAGCAAGATTTTGAGCGTAATTGTCTAAAAAAACCGCTCAAACCGCTCAAATCTTGCTTCAAATTAGGTGAAAAATCTCGACTCGGGTAGTTACTCTCGAAGGTTTAATTCTAACCTCTCTGAACGTGACCGACACGTGGTTGTCATCATCAATCGAATCAGTTGGTGTTGTAGAATGAGGGTTATGATCTCGGTCATTGAGGTTTACATTGAAGACAAAAGTGAAGCCATTGTCTACGTCAGACTCACAGAACCGAACTACTGATCTTTCACACCTTAAAGATCCTGAATTCTGAATGTTTTTAATCGCTGTTTTCACAAACTTGAAAACATTTCTGGGGCACTCCCAAGAAAAAATTTCAGAGTCGATTTTAGTTATGTTCAAAGCAACAAAAAACTCCAGCTAAGTGAGTTATGTCTGATGTGGTTAACTCATAGAGTAATTTCGGATAGGGTACACCGTCTGCTCGTCACGCTATCTTATTTTCGGCCGGATAGATTCGTGCAACTTCTTAGTCTAATACCGATCCTAATCTTACTCTTATACTTTCTAGTCTCAGGGTGTTTAACTAGTCTCTGCTAGGCTCAATAGATCTAGGGTATACTGGTTTGTTGCGGCTGCTGAAGTTCTCTTGGAGAGACAACTAATTTCTAAGTTAAATTCAAATCTCTCTGGTGCTGAAATTACAAGTAATTTCAGCACTTACAAATAAGTGGGTTGTTAGTTAGATGGATCATGATTGGTTAATATTAAATACTTTACAGTGGTAAAATATCTAATTTATCCAATCATAAAATGTAGTTTAGATCAGGTTCCATAAGTCTCCCCAGTCGAGATTTTTCACCTAATTTGAAGCAAGATTTGAGCGGTTTGAGCGGTCTTTTAGACGATTGCGCTCAAAATATTGCTTCAAAATGAGCGGTTCGAGCGGTTTTTGAACGGTTTGTCTTAAAAAAAGGCTCAAAAACCGTTCAAATCTTGCGCGGTTTTTGAGCGGTTTCATCAGATAAACCGTTCAAAACCGTTCAGCGCTCATTTTGAAGCAAGATTTTGAGCGCAATCGTCTAAAAAAACCGCTCAAACCGCTCAAGTCTTGCTTCAAATTAGGTGAAAAATCTGTTGCTTTGATTATAACTAATATCGACTCTGAATTTTTTTCTTTGGAGTTAAGGTGTTTTTTTTCTAATATCAGGCCCAAAAATGAAGAAAAAAAAACATTAAAAGAGCTTCTGAAACTCAATTGAATTATCCATTTTAGTCTAACTTTGATTAGTTTCAACCAATCATTTTTTTTTTCAATGAAAAATTAGTAATATCAAAAACGACGATTTTGTTTTGTAAATCAGATTTGAAAATTGCCAAATTGAGAAACACGAGTTAAATAGCAGCGAGACTTGGATACTGGCATCGATGACGCTGAAATGACTTTGGATGGGGGCGGCGAGAGAGGACAAAGGTACGTACCTGTTGGCGAGACTGTCGATGGAGTAAGTGAAGGAGGCAGAGCCGTCTCTGTGCTCCACTGCAGCCACAATGAAGCCCTGGGAGGCTAACTCACAACACACAGTCGAGTAGCACTGCTTCGTACCCCCCAGCCCATGGGAAAAGACGAGCACAGGAAGCTACATGGCAGCCAGCCGCAACCATATTCACTTACCAGCTTATATCACTTCAGCCAATGACATTATTCATTTTATTTTTTACACTTTTATGCAGACAGTCCGTTTTCACACAAAAACAGCTACCAGAAAAAGTCTACCAACAGTGTAAAGTGATTTATAATCGAGCTCTATGATCAATCGTGATTTGAGATGTTGCAAAAACATTCCAAAAATTTTTTCGAGTGTCAGGAAAAACGGTTTGATACTGTGACTTTCAAACTTTCGACTTTTTGGTGATTTGAACTGTTTACTTTTGAATGTATAGTGCCAATTATGTTAGTCGCAAAGCATTAATATTGCGTTTAAAAGACCTGCGCACTTAAAACCAGCATTTATTTATGGGCGGAGGATCAAATTCAGGGCCCAAAAATAACAAATTTAAAATGAATTGCAGATAAAGATTTCCAAACGAATTAAAAATGCTCTATCAATTGGAACCATTTCGAAACAAGTATTTCCTATATTCAATCATATTTTGAATAATTATCTCTGACAAATAATAATAACTAACCAACACATGATCCATGACTAAAACTTACAATAAATTGTAAGGTTGAAACTGTTTATAGTTTCAGCCAGAGATGAATAAATTTAACCTAGCAAGCAATTGCCCTTTATTGATTCTTACTTCGCAACAATGTCAGTATAAACTAGACCATGAAGACTGTGGAGACTGGGTAATATCAGAGTAAAATTAGGATCGGTATTAGACTAAGAAGCAGCACGAATCTATTTGACCGAAAATAAAGTAGCGAGAGGAACAGACGGTATACCTAATTCAAAATTGCTGAATGAGAAAGCCATCCCGGACTCAAACTCAACTGGTGCAACCAAAAGAATCCCAAACAGACCTCTGTTGATGTAGATTTATCAAAAACAAAATAGAATAGACAATTAGATCAAAAAACGCTAAACAAAATGATAAACTGAATTGATGATAAAATTAGCTCATTTTCACATCTCAATAAGTCTAATCAAATCAAACGAATAATAAGGTTGACATCAGGTTACAACCAGAACGACAGACCGAGCCTCTACATCCTGAAACAAAAAAGCAGTCTTTATCTTTTTTTCCTCTACAAAACTATTCATGCAAAACTTTTTCCTTCATTGATACGAATTGCAATGAAAATAGCAGTAAAATTATTTCGAAGCTACATATCTCACTATGAAGTATGGTTAAAAACTACATATCTACCCAGTCGATTGCAAACCATCCATATACCTCAAAGTTTCATTTCTGCAGTTTTTTTTGTAAAAACTTGAAATTTTTTTTACATACAAACAATTTTTAGTTAAGAAATTCTGATTAGTTTTATGAAATTATAAGAAATTCCTTGCTTCTCAAGGACTTACCTTGTTAGTTTTTTTCTTCAACTAAATGAAACAAAACTACTTTGAAATGACTAGCCTCTATTAAATTTGACTCTAACCCTTTTTTAAGTCATTGAATCTTTTAATTAAAACTTTATCAAGGCCTATCCCCGTTCAACTGAAATCAAATTTTTTTAAACTCAAATCAGATAATCATGGCTATCCTTGGATCTTAAAGTTTTCTTTTCATTTCAAAATTTCTGAATTTTTTTTTTCAATAACTGTAATTTTGTATTATATCAAAATTTGATTATCAAGTCTATCAAGAATAAGTCTTACTTAGATGCAAATAACATTACACTCTAGAGCAGTTAAAATTCTGTCGAACTAATTATTATACTCTCTTTCTAACGCGTCACTTCACAAAAATCTACCCTCAGGATTAGGATAACCTCACAATAAGTAAAAGAACCATTAGTTTAGGAAAAAAACTGACACCCATATTTTGCATCAATAATTCCAACACTTATGTCAAGAGATAATTTGGGAAAACAAACAAAAATTCTTCACAATTGCTTAACTAAAGACGGAGAATACGATCTCAAAATTACACCACATAGACAAAATAGAATATATTAAGTCAAAAAAGCAAAAAAAAATGAAATCAAACCAAAGCAAATCAAAAAATGATTATTTCAAGAACACGAAACGCTGTTTCGGAATCTGACTCAACAAGGAACATAAAAATTTAATAATCTCCGAGCTCTAATAGACGAAAAAAAAACAAGTTGACTATCAAAGAAATGTTTTCGGATCAGAAGCCACAACAGCATCATCCTTAAAATGCAAACAAAGAATAAAAAACTTCTTACCTTCGAAAACCAGTGAGATTGTACAATTGGAATCAACTGATAAGACCTAATGAAAATTACCTAATAACCGTAATACCGCACAAAAATTGATTCAATACGACAAAAATTTTAACAATGACACTATCAATAGGACAACTACATTTTTGTTCCGAAAAGGAAGCACTCCATGTAACCAAGAATTTCCAGAAGTAAAAAAAAAGGTAAGTACTAGATAACTATCTACCAGGTATCAGTAATATGGCATGTTCGCGGTCGAAGTTTAACTACCAATTCATCCAACTAATTGTCACACCGAATACGAGCAGGTGATATAGAATTAGATTTTACAGAAATTTTAACGAAAAAAAATGAAAATAGTAAGACGAGAAGTTAATCTTTTTTCACGATTTTTAGACTCAATTCGTGAAACACTCACTGACATTCAAATATCACAAAAACTTAATTTCGACCTACAAAGAACCCTAGCATGGTTCAATACACATTCTTTTCAACATAATCTAGATCTAATTGCACAAGCAAGAAAAAAGTTTCGACCGCAAAGTGACAAAATAACAATGCAAGCAGACAAAACAGATTATGCATGGTACCCAGAATGGTACTACTTTTTGTATTTCATCATACCAAATAATTTCTCAAGGGCAGCATCTGCAACATTCTCAGTAGACAAAGACTATTCAAAAAATACCCTAGTTAAAACCAATACCCCACCTTTAATTTACAACACAATGTTTAATGATATGCTATTCAATACCAGTCTAAACTCAACATTCAAAAATACAGAAGAAAATGTTAACGGAACTATAAACCTGACACAACAAAACGTTCAAACAGCATCATAATTTTCAAACGAAGATTTTGTTGAAGCAATAACTAAAACAACACAACAGAGTATTTCATCTATACATCTAACGATAACAACATAACATAACAAAAACAACACTCAGTTACCATCAACAAAAACAAAATCAACAGTTAAACCACCTGTCGTCCCGAATTATTCAAAAAGGTGATCAAACACATCGACCAATAGCTGAAAAGCGTCCGTTTATTAAACCAAACTATACAAATGGTAACAGTTTCGCAAAACCTATTTACATTTTAAATCAAAAATGATACCAGCAATCCAATGGAACGACCATGTTAGTTTTAATAAAGTTTAACTTTCAGTTTTCTATATGAAATCAATATAAATTTGAACAGCTAACAGGTTTAATATTAAAGCACCCCATGGTAAATGAATCATCGAAATTTGATATCGGTAAGCTACATCCTACTTTACATCATCCACTTCAGCCCAAGAACCTT